CACACACACACACAGAGACAGAGACAGAGACAGAGACAGAGAGACAGAGACAGGGAAGGAAGGAGAGAGAGAGACAGACACAGAGAAGCTGCCTCCCAAAGGCCCCAGGTCCTCCACTAATGTGGGCAACTATGAGATCCACTACATCAGCCACTTGCCCACTTTTGGAGCCTTCTGCCATTGTTCTACCAGTTACAAAGTGATTGTGGGCAAGTCGTTCCCTTCTGAGTGCCCGTTTCCCCGTGCACACATTCATGGCAGCATTGGCATTCTTGGTCTTGAAGGGCCTCCCACTCTGCTGAAGCCATTCTGTAACAGCAGAGGTAGGTTAATCCTTGAGCAGGTCCTGGGGCAGCCAATGGACCTTTGTGCCCTCAGGAAAGATCAAAACAGGCTGTGGCACAGAGGGACTGGGCACTCAGGCTGGAGCAGGTCAGATGTTACGTGTGTCCATGTTTTGGTATCAATTTAAAAGAAAGGCTCTGGGTGTGATGGAGCAGGCCTTTAACCCAACAAGCAGGAGGTTAATGCAGGAGGATCATAAGGTGGAGGCTATCCTCTCAACACAGTGAAACCCTGTCTCAAAAACAAATAAACAATAACAAAGAAAGTAAAAAGTAATGCAAAATCTTGCTTCTAGAGCCTTGTACACATCAAAGACTCTGCTAAGCTTAGCGTGGGGCTGGGGGTCTAAGAGGAAATTAAAAACTACATGCTACCAACCCTCCCAGTGGGGCCTGAACCAATTTCTTCCCAACTATGAACCTCCATTTCCCCATCTGTGAAGAAAGCCCAGTCCTATTGAATACTTTATTAAACTTTATTATTTGCATCCAGTCCAGAGACCAGGTACTGACAGGCTTCAGTGCAGGGGGCCAGCTGAGCCTTCTGGCTCCTCTGTGTCTCCTCTCACTTCTATTTCTCAGGCTCTAAGAGGTGAAGCTGTTGTCAAAAGACACACCGCTTTTAAAATACACATAGGGAGCCAGGTGGTGGTGGCACACACCTTTAATCCCAGCACTCGGGAGGTGGAGGCAGGGGGATCTCTGTGAGTTCGAGGCCAGCCTGCTCTTCAGAGTGAGTTCCAGAACAGCCAGGACTACAAAGAGAAACCCTGTCTTGAGAACCAAAGGAGGGGGCATGGGGCTAAAAGGTGGCTCAGCTGGAAAAGTACTTGCCATATCATAGGATCTAAGATAGATATATACCCAGCACCCTTGCAAAAAAAGTCAGGTATGGGGGTGTGCTTGTAAACCCAGCACTGGGGGTGGGGGTAGACAGGAAAAGCTCTGGAAGCACTTGCTGCCAGTCTAGAACAGGCTCTGTGAAAGGCTGTCCCCACTTGACATTGAACTCTTGCATCCATAAAAATGAGAGTGAATGCATGTGCAGCCACACATGAACCCAACACACATATATACACATTCAAACATGTGTATACACACACGAACACACGCATGCACACATTTGAGCGTGTGCACCTACACATTAACACACGCACATGCACACATGCATATTCGGGCTCATGAACCCCCACACACATGCACCCCCTCCACTGTGCATACACATGTACCACACACAGCACACATGTTTGAGCATGTGTACACACACATATATGCACATTTGAGCATGTGCACCCACATCTGAACACGCACACACAAACACACATGTCATATAGCCTGAGTCTGATAGAGCATGGATTTGAACCTTTGACCGTCCGGCCTAAGTATAGTTTTACTCCCTTAGCCTGAATCAGAGGAGGAGGGGCTGGACAGAGAGCTGCTGTATTACACACACATGTCAGATAGCATGGTGGAGGAGGGTACCCCCAGGCTCAGAAGCCTCCATTCCCTCTTCTTGGATTCATAAGACACGCCAGCTTAGGACTTGCTTGGGACCAAGCCAAAGGTCAGTAGGTTATGGGCTCCCATCTGGTCATATAGATGGTCCCACCCCAGATAAGTTGCACTGAAAGGCAGGGGTGGGAAAGGAGCAGGATTAGGGCCTTCACCCAGGGGTCCTTTCGTGTTCCCCAGGAGAGAGAGTACAGGAAATATGGGATGGGGTGGGGATAGATTTCCCGGGGTAAGACTGGTTAGAGTGCAGCAGTCTGCTTTCACTTGTGGCGTGTTCTGGGGTCTGGAAGCAGTGCTGAGCTGGGATTCCCAAATCCCAGCACGAGGCCTTTCTGGCTGATGATGGCCTCAAAGTGAGGGGACCAGAAGAGAAGGAAGGAGGGAAAGAGGGAAGGAGGGGAGGAGAGGAGGAGGGGAGGAGAAGAGGAGAGACACAATGCTAATGGCTCTGGGCCCTGAGCACCTTCTGGATGATGGGAGAATGAGGGGAGCCCCAGTCCATGGTGGGGTGGCCACACAGAGCGAGGGGTCAGAAAGCCTCATTTTATCTCTAGGAGTGAGGTAGATTCTGCCTGCTCTTATAAACCACACACCACTTTCTCAGTTCCCATTTGCAGTTCTGCCTGCTAGCTCCTGTGAGAGCAGCTACAGTCATTTCTAAATACTCATTTAGAAAAACAGTCAAACATTTCTATGCACCAAATATTTGCTTCTCATTAAGAGAGAGAGAGAGGAAAAAACAAACAAACAAACAAACAAAAAACCCAAACACCTTTATGTTGGCAACAAGCTCATCCAAAGACTGCAACTGTTTTGGTAGCTGGGGCCAAAACAAATGTTCCTCCCCCAAGGCCAAATGATTCCAGAATGTTTGCAAAATGTTTTTCACTCCTTTAAAAATACAGCAAAATGTACAAAACACTAACATTAAGGAATATTAAAAACAGAAAGGGAGAAAAGCCACAAGAACAGAATGACAGCCACCTCATGCCCCTCCCAACTTCTGCAGTGGGAGAGCAGCTCTTAAAGCCCAGTGCCATGGGATGGAGAGGCAGTGAGCTTTCTGTCCTCAGAGGTATGCAGGTTCCCATTCTCTACAGGAGCCATCTGACCCTGAAGGATGCCTGCATGCGCTGGAGCTCAGGGTGGAAGTGCAGTGACGGCTGATGGAATCAGGAATCACTGACCTGTCTAGCTCCATATGGCTGCTTCACTGACTCAGCTGCTGATCCATGCTGGACCTCTGCCCCCCTCTTAGATAATATGGGGTCAGCATTTTGGTCTGATAGGTGGGGGAGAGTGTCAGGGCAGGCTCCCCATAAAGGACCATTTTGAGCTTGGTCCAGAGGACTCCACTGGACAGCAGGTGCTTGGACACTTGGTGGTGGTCCTCAACGAGTGACAGCGATGGCTTGGGCATATCAGAGAGACTTTGAAGAGGCCCCTGAGAGAACATGGGGTTAGATTCAAAAACTGATCTGGCACAGGAAGGATAGTGCGGGATGGGGAGGGGGTCTCACATCCTTCAGCTTGCCAGGTCTCTAAAAGCAGGGCAGTGGCAGGTGTTGGGTGGGGACAATGTGGTCAGGGTCAACTTGGGCTTACCGATGCATATTCACTGTTGGAGTGTGGCATAAAACCTAGGGGGTGTGGAGTTACCCACTCCTGATGCCTCCAGGCCCACAAAGAGCCTGGTTATGAGGTCGGATGGAAAACGGAGAGATGGTAGAGTATGGGGCTGGGATGGATGGCTGGATGGGTGGTAAATGGAAAAGGAGGGACTCAGTGAGTCTGCTGGAAGAAGGGCTGAAGGGAAGGTTGAAGGAAGTGACCAGATGGTAGGGGTGGACAGTCAGTCTGATTCGCACTGTTGAGCCCGTGGACACGCACATGGGTAGGGCACACAGACGGCAGATGCTGACGGTTGTTCTGGTGGGCACAAGGATTAGAGCCTCGATGCCTGGATCACAGGTAGATGTAGGTGTGGAAAGAGGGCCAGTAGGTGTGCAGAGTGGAAGGGGATGATGAGCTGCAGAGGCTGGTGGGGGAAGAGGCACACTTGGGTTTGGGTGGTTGAATGGGCTGGTGGGACACTGCTGGGTTGATTGCTGGCTGGCAGCAAGCACTGGCGGGGGTTCCATGTGCTGGTGGTGGATGGGTCAGTGGATGGTGGTGGACAGGGCAGCATGGTGCCTTGACAGGAGCAGATGGGGGCCGGGGCTGGGGCTGGGTCAGAGACCAAGGTGGTATGGGTGGAAGTAGGTCACTGTCAGCAACATCTGCCTTGTCTCTTGCAGGGCACCAGCCACATATGGGAGACTCCTGGCCACGGAGCTCAGCTCATGAGGCAGCAGAGTTAAATCGCCAGTGCTGGGTCCTGGGGCACTGGGTGTGATGTGACCCAAGCCAGCCCCTGCCTTCCTGCCATCACTGGCATGACCCCTCCCACAGGACATGGAAGCCTGGTCTGTGTGCTGTGGACTCAGCTCTCCTGTCATGGAGGCACCAGGCCTATACTGCCACCGCTGCCTGGGTCTTGGGACCCCAGAGCCGGGTCAGGCAGGCCTGAGGGACTGTCCAGGCTGCACAGAGACTTGGAGACAGCAGCCACCACCACACTTAGAGCCCCACCCAGCTGGGAAGCCAGGAAGGACAAGGGCATTGACCATTGAATGCCGGACACCCACAGTCAGACACAAAGCCAAGAAGGTGCACAGAGGGGCAGGGCCCTGTGGGGACAGGGAGCAGGGCTTATTGAAGGAGAGGCAGTGGTTGCCTCTGTGGGGGTCACACAGCAGGCACACAGCAGGCACACAGCAGGGGCTCAATAAATGCTTGTTGAACCTGTTCTCTTGCTGTGTGTGGGCTGCCTCCCCCATCATCATCCTGCCCTGGAGGTGTGAGCCCTGGGCACTGAGGTCAGGGCCAATCATCCATCGATGAGCTAGAGTCCAGCCTGGTCTGGGGAGGTCAGGATGGAGACAGGTGGATAGAGCAGCCAGGATCCCAAGCATGGCAGGAGGAGCAGGCCAGGAGTTGGAGGAAGCATGTTTGACTGGGAGCCTCAGCAGTGTGACACCACTGGGGACCCTTTACCCTGTATCTAGGGCCACTTTGCATAAAACCTGTCAGCTGCCAGGGGTGGGGTGGGGGGAATAATTCCTGTCTTGATCATGAGAGCTTGGGGTCCAGAGAGGGAAGTTTCTTGCTTGAGATTAAAGCTGACTTATGGGAGAGTGAATTTAAACTAGACTCACTCCCAGTTAAGTCTCCCGAGAGGCCTCATCCTGCCCTGAAGGATTTCTAGAGATTGGCAGAGCAAGGCAGAATGTAGTCTTCTCCTCCATTCATCCACCCATCCATTTAGCCGGCATTCACCCACTATCATCCACCCACCCACCCATTCATCTATCCACCCAATTCATCCATACACGATCCATCAATTCATCATCTACTCACCCATCACCCATCATCCATCATTTACCCACTACCCATCCATGTATCATAATCCATTTAACCAACATCCATCCTATCCACCATACATTCACGATTGATCCATCTAATCATTCATCCATTTAGCAACATGTATCCACTCATCACCTATCCAACCATCCATCTTACCCACCCTTCCAGCATCTATCCGTCTATCCATTAACCATGAATACATCATCCATCTATCTGCCCTCAATTAGCCATTCACCATGATTCACTTATCCATTATCCATCTGTCATTGTCATTCCTTTTGTCAATTATCCACAAATACAACAGCCATCTTCATCATCCAGCTATCCATCCGTACATCTGTCTGCATACAGGTGTCTTCTATTATGCCCCTGCTGTGTGCCACACACTGTAATAGGCCCTTGAGATGGGACACCAAAGCTTCCAGAGAAGCAGAAAAGTAATAAACTAGGAGATGACAGTTCCTGTGTACATTGCTGGGAATGGTACCTGCCCTGGAGTCAGACTGCCTAGCATCAGGTCTTGTCTCCTTAGCCCCAACGGCCTTATCCTGCAGGTGGGACTCGTCATTGTATCTACCTCTTACAGCTGCTGGAGGGTGACACAGACTGGTGCCTGTGAGCACAGGGGGCAGAGACTGGAGAGCACCCTGCCATCATATCAACGAGGGGAGTTGGGGCCGTGGGGCTGAGGCAGTGCCTGTTGGAGACCACCCGAAGGACAGCTGATCAAGGAAATGACACCCAAGCTATCTTGCTGGTGTCAGCTGTGGAGGGAAGAGCAGGGCATAGAAGGGCTTTCAAATGGTCCAAATGACAAGGGTGGGGGGGGGAGAGGAGGGCTGTGAGGATGAAACCAGGTTGGAGAGAGGGCTCAAAGCTTCACAAGGGACCCCATAGTTTATCCTGGGGGCATCTGGGTGCTCTGGGCAGAGTGGGCCAAGGTGTGTAGTCTAGGAAGTCACTCCAGCTCTGGGCTGGAGCAGATGACTAAGGCAGGACTACCATGTCCTTGCAGGGCCCTGAGTGACAGGAGAGTGCTGTGGCTGAAGAAAGGCTTGTGGAGGGTCAGGGCCCAAAAGGAGGGACTGGCGTGGGAGGAGGAGGCAGGAAAAAAGATATGATTCAGGTCTCTGTCCTGTGTCAGGCTGGGCATCTGGGGGCAAAAGGTGGACCCCACACTTCTGTGTACATGTATGCCTGTGCTCAGTCACTCTTGAAAGCACCTCTCTTCCACCTTGCATTCACACGGTGTGTAGGGAGAGTGTGGGGGAGACAAAGTTGGCCTGGGCAGGGTCCTACACAGTTATGAAGGCCCCAGAAGGCCAGCAGGGGAGCTTCAGCATTGGCCTTGTGCAAGTGGGAGCCATGATGGGACCTGAGCAAGGTCATAGGTCTGGGATCTAGGAACCCTGTAGTTCTTGGTCATTCAGGAGCCTTGTGAAGTTGGTCACGAGCCCCAGGAAATGATGTTAATTGCAAATCTGTCATCTATTTTAATAGCTGTGTTTATGTAAATGTGTATTAGAAAACTGTATGGGTGTGTCCACACTCCAGATTCAAGTGCTGCGGCTTAGAATGAACCACAATAGGCATTTCAGTAAAAAGAGTTGGCTTAAAGAAAAATACTAAATAAATAATCATGCAAGTGGTCTGTGATTATGGTATGTGGGTGATTGGAATGGGGGCCATTGCCAGAAGGGGCCATGAGGCTTGGGGCCCTCCTGGGAAGCAGCTGGAACCCAGCTGTCTTCCACTAGAGCAGGGAGGCTGCTGGCTAGATAAAAGGAAGCAGTTACAGGTTAGTGATGTCTCACAGTCACCTTAAGGGCTGTCTTCTTGCTGGGAGTAAATATCACTGAGTGTCCTTCCCAGGGCCACAACCAGGAGGTGCCATCTGGTCTAAAACCTGGGAGGGGCCACAAACCACTCAGAGTTCAGGAAGGGAAGCAGAGGGCTGGTCTGAATGGGCTTAGCACCCTCGCTCCTGAGCTGGTAGATACCTGTTACCCTTCCCAAGTCTGGACCACATTTGGCCACTGAGCTTTAGTAGCTGACCTTGGCCAGGCTGACAGTTCCCAGATGTCATCCTAGGAAGTGCACAGCATCTACACACAGGTCTGGGTCTGGGTACATGACACAATCCCATATACACACTAAGGCCTCATATTGGGTCTCCTTGGAGCCTGCAGGCTCCCTGATGCGCTCACCTCACATATCCATCATCTCTTCTCTCCATGTACAGAGGGTCCCATGGCCGTCTTTCCCTGGCCAAAGCTGATGGGCAGGCCCTAGTCTCCACTTCTTCCCTGGCTTGTGGTCTTGATGAGTGGTCACCACGTGCCCCCCCTCCCCCGCCATAGTACTCAGACCAGGTCACATACTCATCTCCCAGGTAATGGAAATGTCAGCTTGATTCATGGGCCTTTGCTGCCAGGCCTGAGGACGAGGCTGGCAGGAGCTGCTGCTGCAAGGGAGGAAATGAGGGCGGCACAGATCATCCTGATGTGCACTTGGACAGGCCTGGGTGCAAATTCTGCCCTGCCTCAGACTGGCAGCTGGCCCCATCTGAAAATGAATCAACTGAGGACTAGAGGGCATGCACACATGGAACACAGCTGCACATGGCACTGTCACGGGGAAGCAAGACAGAGAAACATACTACTGTGGGAGCTTACCTGTGTAACCCCAACAAGAAAGTCCCAAGAGAGGGCCAGGTGGGAACTCGTGAGGAGCCTATCCCCTGGCCATTCCTTACTGGCACTCTTCACACCGTTCCCACACTATCTATCACCTTTGCTCTCCAGGAGGATTGGGGCCTGCCTGCTGATGACTGTGGGCCTGGCCAAGCTGGGGGATTAGGAAGCCCTAGGAAGTAGAGGGCATCTGAGGTAGAGAGAAGACCAGCTGGGACTAGGGCCACCTGGGGTGCGTCCCCCTTCCCTTCCCTCTGCTGGGTAAGGAGCCAGCTGGGTGAAGAGTCTCAGGATCCGTAGAAAGGGGACCATCCTGCCACAACACACAGGGTAGGAATGGAGTGAAGGGTGGCATAGCTGTCTGTCCAGTCAATGGCTGAGACACTTTTGGAGCAACCAGCTGAGGCTGAGCACATCCTGGAACTCGGGGGCAGGCAGGAGGGTGGCTGTTGCCCTGGGAAAGAGTCCCTACCAGTGTCATCCAGCCTGAGGTCTGTGCATCCTGCTCTCAAGTCTGTGCATCATGAAATGATGGTCACTAGGAGACTTAGCTGAGTGTCTCCTTGGAGGGATGGATGCACTGTGAAACCCAAGCTCTGGATGTTGGGCAACTCCTGGAAGAAGGTGGGTACCACTGCTGTGCAGTCTGAGTAGAGGAGCCTGGGTCAGGGCCTAGACTCCATTGAGGTAACATGGCTAGGTGTGTGTGTGACGGGGGGGGGTATTGCTCAGGAGAAGGTGCTTTGGGTTGGGGAATAGAGGATGGTGGAACTTTGTACTTGAACCCAGGTCTTCTGGCTCCAGAACCATCACATGACATGAAATATGCTGGGAGAAGGAAGGGCACCTACAGCAAATGAGTGCCAGTGTCCAGCACCCACAGGCCCATTTGCCTGGCAAAGGGCCTCAGACTACCTTGGCTACCACTGGTTTTGTTGCTGTTATTATGAAATAAGGCTGCCAAGAGCTGCCCTCATGCCAGGGCTGTGAGCTGAGCAGTTTCCAGAGAGGCCTAGAGACCACACATGCAACACCTGCAATTCAGGAGACAGCTCTGGGCGCTGGCGGGCATGCAGCCCTATGTACACACTCCCCAGTCTGTAGCAGGTCCTCAGGTCTGGAGCCTCCTTGTGAACACTGTGGCCACAGACCTGTTTCTTCACATGTGCTACTGGCCTTGATCTCCTGGCTGTGAAGAAGATGAAAGCCAGCAGAACAAAGGGGCCATGGGGACATC